TGAAAATCCTAATGGTTCGACATTTGAGTGCGCAGGTCACATCCATACACAAGTTCAAGGTCCAATATACAATTCGTTCTGTGGTTAGCACTCCTACGCGTGCACATGGAAAGAACCTATACCACACATGATTATTTACTTTTAAAGTATAAGCATATATTAAGTGGTCACGACCTTTATCATTTTCCCATGTGGAACAACTTGAATTAATTTCCCTCCAACAAAACAAAATATCTTCCAATTCATCACTTTGAACTTCAATTTCTCATTCAACCAATTATCATTTTTGACAAGTATAAATATATGATTTTGATGTTTTGACAGAAAACACAGATCAACTTTGATTTTCCAAAATGAATGAACGGATCCCATTCAAAATTATGCCAAGGTTAACCCCATTAAGCCAATTTTCCAACCGTTCTGATAATATGGAAATAAAATATTTGAAAAGTATTTCTAGCTAATACAATATGGATGCTGAATAAAGATAATGTCATTGATAACAAACCCAAATACAGCTAACTTTTGTTCAATTTCTCAATCTTTCTAAAAAAAATTAACAATTTAGTACCATATCTTCTACTGCTTGCCGCCTGCATTGAGCAGACGGGAAACTATACCCATTCTCCACCAAGGTGTAACTGTTAACATTTCGTCCTTTTTCGATATAAGAGCAGGCAGTCCGTTGGTGAAGCTACGAGTGTGTGATGTCTGCTCCTTGCCACTCGTCACCGAGGAACTGAAATTGACATCAATATATCATTAAATATAAAAGTCTCACCATTCAAAAAGACCCAGTCTGTTGCCGAGTACAAAAGCAAAGGATAGGTACAGCATCAGAGCTGCTCGTAAAATCGATATGTCAAAACTCATATGCTATGGTAGCTTCACTAGATTGTTGTATGTGAATGCTTAACAGGGAAATCAGCAAGCAATATCAGGAAGGTAGAAAGACAAGGAAGGGATTAAGAAACTCGCAATACAGTTGATTTCAAAAACGAATAAGATTCAATAAACCGTAAATATCTTTTTGTATTTTTCATCTGGCAGTTGTATCAGTTGTATGTCTTAAGGCCAATCTAGGGAAATTGATTTGAGACATGCACCTTAATCATATTTAATAACGAGCAATGGAATATGAGTAAGACCATAGAGTTGAAGCCTCTTAAAGATGTTAACAATATAAAACACGTAAAACTACTCTAAATAAATCATAAATTTTCATATGATTGACATGAGAAGTCAAATAATAATGTCGTGTGCTTGTTTGAGAACAACTTCGCAGAAGTAACTCTACAATAGGACATGTCGTATAGAATTCAATAACTGTCAATTATACATCCTATGTTGTGTATGTGACTGTTGGACCTGACAGACCATTGGTGCCTTGTGCATGGATTATTATGGTAGATAATGTAATGTTTATTGTGACAATTGTTGGCTCTATAAAGCATGTGACTGTACAATAAGAAATCTATTACTAACTGGAATTCCATGAGCAAGTTAGAGAGAAAATTAGAAAGAGATAAATTCTACCAAAACAAATACCAGTTTGGTTGGTCATCCATTTGCCTGGTTGTCCATCTAAACCAGAAGCAGTTATAGATGCTATAACAAAACTTTGTAAGAGAAAATCTCGAGAAATATATGAAGATAGAATGAGGTCTGAACAAGTAAATTGGTATTTACTACAGATCACAAGCGTCAGAAATAGGACCGTTAAAAAATGTTTGTTCATCAACATTTGAGTGGTCATCATGCACATAAATTAGGATTGTTTATCTCTGGTTTGGTTTTGGGCATTAAACAAGATTATGATTTTACCCAGTTTAGAGGTCTCCTCGGCAAAACTGTAAAGAAGTCATTGATTTGGACTAGAAGTAAATTAGATTTGTTTCTTTTGCAAATCTGCTCTCTTTAACACAAGCATTATGCATAGTTTATATATACAAATACATGGTTAAGAAACTAGTACAGAATTTAAAACACCAAGAAAACTATTACATAGCAAAATACTTGAAGAAAACTCATACCCACTATTCCTCATGTCCAAACAAGTGGGTATGACTAGCACCCAACTGTTTGTACTCCTTTTACTCCATTAGTTCACTGGAAGAGCTTTCAGTTTCCTACAGCTCTGATGTGGATAAATCTAGAGGCCCCTCGCTTGCAAGGCTTGTTTTCAGGAGGGTAGGCAGATACAAACTAGAAGGTTTTTATGTAAACTTATAATTTATCTTCAGATCCATGTTTTAGCAGCTAATTGCCTAATTATGAACAGGTTTGCAGGTTTAAAATTCTTATTTTTGCTGGTTTCTGTATTTCAAACCATCATGTCAGGAAACTGGATCATATAGAACTTTGACTTTATCATAAAATTTAGTGACATAAGTTTACATAATTATATATCACTTCAAACTCAAACATAAGCCAATTGAATGAACAATAATACGGAAGCAATTCTGTATCACCATTGGATACTGAACCAAGAACCCTTCATAATGATGCTTCGGAATTTCATAGTACATGCTTAATGCATGAACACATCATTTGATTTCTAATAATCTTATGCCAGTTTGGGAGAAAGTATAATGAAATTGAAATGAAAAGAATAGTGGAAATCCCACGTGAAGATAATAAGTGTGTAGCAGTTATGGATAGTAGATATGGTTAAAATTAATATTCGACTTTAACTTCAAATTATAATGAGATTGTAACTTGTCCCAAACAAGCACTTCGAAGTGCAAATACATGTGCATATAAACAGGAAAAAATAAAGAATCTCAGAAACATACGTCGGAAGTAGTGGACCTTCATATGCAAATGTTGACAAGCCCTGGCGCTGCTTATGCTTGGGATTGGCAGTGCATAATACATAAACTCGCCCACGCCGTTTGACTGTCCGACAAAACTCACACATTTTCTTCACTGAAGAACGGACCTTCATGGCTACAAATAATAATAACAAAGATACCATCAGAAATAATATATTTAACTGTGAACAGGAAGTTGTAGTCATGTTAAGACACAGAAATTGTTCTAAATTGGAAGAACGAGCCAACTTGAATAATTCATAAATGCGAGGGAGTTCAATAAATAAAAATAGAAAATCCTACTTTGCACAAAATTGAAGAACCCTTATGGAGGGAGTTTGAAAGCCAACACAGTAGTAAACATAATGAGGCAGGTTATATGGAGAGTATCTTTTTTGTCATTTCGCTTATTCATGTCTAATGATGATCCTAACCAGCACTACCAATTAGGTGGCCTTTCAGCTTCTAAACAAACTTGTGCAAGAACAAGATGATATTCTCCTAGATTACCCATCTAAGAGCAACTATGATATTCAGGATCAACAATATATATATTCTACAGCATACAGTTTGTAATGTAGAATTCATGAGCAAAAAAAGAGAGAGTACAGACCTTCACTGAGACATGGTTTTGCAGCAGTTTTCATCTAGTAAAGGCTAACATTGTGTATAATAACAAGCAGTAGCAGTTATTTGGTCAAGAAATTTCTGTATTTTGAGAGATAATGGTCATTTCTATAATGTTAATATTTCAGCATATAGCCCATATTACGGGCCTTCAAGTCTTTAACGGGTCAATTTAAGCTAGTCTTATTTTAAGTACTAGTGATGCAGCACCAATAGGAAAATTAATAGTGAAAGAGAAAATCAATGAACATGAAGAAGAAAACAGGGGAAAAAGAAGAATGGGGAAGAGGAAAATTTCGCCACAAACCACCAAATATCTTTATTCAATCATCAACTGAAAATAAATTACAATGCAAAATAGTTTAAATATTAAAAACCTAAATCCTAACTAGATTGGGCTTGGGCCAATATAAGCCTAATAAGAATCCAAAACAATAAAGTTCACAAAATGAAATAAGGTCCAATTAGAAATAAATAAAAACGACTGGATGTCCTCATCAACACTACC